CTTACTCCGATTACTCCCATACTTATAGCTTGCTCTGGGGTTTCCAGTTGTCCAAACAAGTTGCCAAATTTTTGTCAATTTTCTATTATCCTATATCATATGCTCTGGCTCACTCTCATAACCAAAAAATTCTAAGAATGTTTGTATACTATTGAAACATATAAAATTGAAGCACAAGTTAAACATTTCCAGGGTTCACAAGTTAGCAATTTGTATAAAATTATCACAGTAATATTCAATATAAAATCTTTGATATAATGGGCCATTCATAATGATATTTTAATAAAATATTTGAAGAAATAGGTGTGAAAATTAATTTCTGGAATAAAAAATTAAATTTTTTAATATTATAATTTGAATATAATTATGTAAAAATAATATAACTGAATAATAAATACTGAAATAGGACAAGCTTGTCGGCTTTGCATATGTATTTTTTTATCAAATGTTCAATGTTTATCTATTGATGGTAAATGAAGAACTGCATATAATAATGATATAAAAATTACTACTTGTTCAGATGAATGCAATTCTAAATAAATAACTGATGCTTTTAAGGTTTTGATAGAGCTGGAAGATGCTTAGTATAAATATTGACATGCTTAATTATATATTTGAGTGTAAATAGTGTAAGAGTAAATATAGCTATATGTTTCTCATAACATATTGAAGAAATTATTGTAGTAGTCATTCCTTTAAACTGTAAATAATAAATCTCTGGTCATTATGATTATCAAATCAAAATAGTAAAAATTTTGATTTATAATATAGTTTCTATTTTTTCTTCACATTTTGGTCAATTTTATGAAAAATCTTCATAGCCTTGTGATTAAGTTCCAAGAACTATTTCACTCCTTTCATCTTGATCTTAGTAGTGTATGTAAGTATTTTAATTTATAATTATGAGTAATATAAATCTTATATTTTTATAGTATTTAAGAGTATCTTTTTATCTTTTATTTCAAATGCACGTAAAAAATGTGATTAAAATAATAATTTCTATATAAGGGTCTTTTTTTCAAATCATATTTAAAAACTTAATTGATTTTGAAATTAATAACATATGCTTGCAAAAACTTCTTTGGATAATCTGTATTTAAAAAAATTATATCAATGAATTTAGAAAATTTATTTATTTCATGAATATCAATGTATATTAAAATTTTTTTATATTAAAAATATTTTATATTAAAAATTATTTATTGACTAAAAAATAATGTATAGATGATTTCTTTCAATACCAAAATAGGTTGATTGTATTATAAATATATTTCAAGTTGTACAATGCAAGATTTCAATGTACTTTAAACTAGTGCTTTAGATTTAGATTAGAATTTAAAGCTTTAGAATACTCTACATAATTTTTTATATTTTGGTGATTTTTAAAGAAATTTGTAATCATATCTAATTTATTTGATATTGAATTTCTCAAGATTAAAAATTAAATTTAATTCAAACATTTTTTAAATGAAGATAAATAAAATGAAATTATTATAGCTGATATTTAAGCTAATATTTATGATTTTTTCTAAAACAACTAAATGTTCAATCCAAAACTTTTTGAAAGTAAAGAATCAAATTATAGCAACAATTTTTTTGTTGTCAGATATTATTGTTGCATTATTATCATTTTCTGATCTCATGGCTTTGTAGTCCACATTCATGAGCACATCATTCATAGTCATAATTGTGCTATTTTTATGACATAATCTGACATAATCTAACATCAAGCACATCTTCATTTATTGTTTTTTAATTTTTCACTGATTCATCTAGTAAAATCGGGTTGGTGACATTAATTAAGGAGTTGCAGCAATACATTGCATAAAATGAAATGAAACCCAAAGATGGAAAAATATAATGATAGAGAAAATCTCTATAATCATCATGATCTTGATCACTTTAATGATCATTTTCATCATTGTGTTGAGTTTCAACCAATTATATTAGTTTTTTAATCTATCCAATTGATAGACTCGTGTTATATTAGTGTGGCCATCTTTAGTTAGCAATAACTAAAGTATAGATTATTCAAGATGGAGTTATAATTAAGTTATAGTGCATTATTCATAGTTGATACATCAACTATAAATGTGTTTGGTAGCTACAAGGTAATTGTATTAGTTATGACCAACACGTCAACAATATGTATGTTTGTAAGAATTATACACCATTTCATCAATACGTTAAGGTTAGAATGTATGATAGGGATGAGATCTTATCACCTTATATTTGTTGGTAAGATTTCTATAAAGGACAGTAAAACTATTCTAACTATCTTTTATCTTCAAAGTTGTATCCATCTTTGAGTGATCTATTCTCTTGATCCATAATGTTACAACTAGATATGAAAAGAGCAATTTATTCAAAAATAAGTCATAATACTAAAGATGAGAGAAATCTAGAATGCTTTTACTCTACTTCATATAAATTTTACCAACAAATACAATGAGATAAGATCTAAATCTCATCATTCAATACACTCTGAGTCAATTGATAAAGTGTTGAATAAACCTAATATGCAAACATGTTGTTGACGCATACATGTCATTGTTCACCAACATACTTTTAGCCTACTTGTAAAATTATGTTGACTTGATGAATAAAAATCATTAACGTCAATGTATCCATATCTTCATCTTCAATAATATTTAATTTAATTTTAATTAACTAAGTATGATATTATATCAACTTGGTATCATTCGTTGAAATGGTTAAAAACCAAATAACATTAGGTGAAGTTGAACGTGGAAAAAATAGTGGTGGAATTGAATTACTAATATGCAAGAATAAACTGTATATGGTTCATAACTATGAGAATTATTTACAACAAAAATGTCAAAAATAACAAAATTTGCTCTGAAACAAATTTTGATTTTTTGACCAAGGATTCAAAAGGGTTAATAAAGAAATGACAAGAAAATTTGCAAGTATAAGATTTCATTATTTTTTTAAAGAATTATTTGCGCTAAGTAGTGTTGTAATTGTAATTAATTTACAAACATTACTTAAGGAATCTAAGAATTTTTTAAAAGTATGCTTTAAACATATGCATTTGAGATTTCCATTTGATAATATGATATTTTTTTAAAAAGGTTAGTGTTTTTGTGTGAAAATAATCTGGAGGTTGTTAAAAAATTGTTTCAACACAATGAGGAGTCAAATTTGGAAGGAAAAGATTTTAGACTTAAAATATCATGGGAATGGAGCACCAAAAAAAATAATAATCCACAAGTACACCAAAATGTACATGACGAACCACATATGCAATTGCAAATCATTAAAGTATGAGGATTATAGAAACACCAAAAACCTTTACTGCCTAAAACCTAAGAGTATCATCGAGATCTTTGGCTAGTTTATCTATAATGAAAAAGTTATTTAAATGCTAATTAGGGTAAAATCACCTAAGTTTAAATAGAATTGAAATAATTACTAACAATAGCTGGAAAAATCCTCATTGTTTTAATAATTTGTAAATTTTTATGATATTCAACTTTTATAGTGAGTTGTGTTGGTAGTTCTTTTTTTGTGTTGCTAGATGCATTTTGTCCATTCTTATTGTAAGTGAAATTCACATGATAGATGCATTTGAATACAAATCTCAAATGAGATTTATTGTTGTTGGATTTGATGATTCAGGAGATATAAGCAAGAGAGAATATAGGCTTTGATAATCAGTTTGGTATATAGTACTTGGAGGTATACAATTAGAATGCAACTTCAAATGCTCAACGTCTTGTTGACTCACTATATTGATTATTTAACATGTTTTTGGCACTTTCATAAATAATTTATTAATTTTCAAAGTGGTAATCCAATAGATGCATAGTTATTTTCAAAAATTATATCAAACATTATATTCTTAAATGAAAAAACTCATTAATAAAAACAAATTACACTAAACGTCATTCTATTATTTTTGGACAAAAACTTATAAGATTTTAGCTTTCCTCTTGATAGACATGTAATGAGTTCATTTTATGAAGGATTTATTTCAAGACCTAACAGTTGCTTGTGATGAAGTAGATCTTCGTTTAACTTTATTATTGTCAAATTTCCATCACTTATATTTGATATATAGATTTACGATGATAAAGCATGGAAAATCATTTGCAAAGTCAAATCTTCAAGAAATATTAAAATAACTGATTGCTCATCAACTCAGCCTGCATCAAGTATTGATTAACTACTTTGATCATATCAAATTTATAGAAGTAATTGAAATATATCAAATCGACATTATTTTTCTAGTGTAAACCCTAATTGTGAGTAGGATGTGCAAATTTACATGTGTAAGGATTAAGTATTATTGCTAAAGCTTTGGAAAATATGACAAAGCGAAAAGAAAAATGTAGTCGGGAAGATGAAAATGAGAGAGGTGGATTGTTTGTATTGTGTTTTTTTAGCCTTTTGACCCTTTGGGTCCCACAGGCTTAATCTATTTACCATTTATCTTAGGAGTACATATTGATGGAAAGAGTTATATTGAGAGAGGTATCTTAGAAGTACATATTGATGGAAATCTGTGGGTTTGGGTCTAATATATCTTTGGGTAGAGATGTAGATTAACACAGCTACTTATTGATATTGATCTCAAATCATTCACTTGGATAACCCTCGTGTCTGGATGAGGATGTAATCCTAAAGAGCATAATAGGTAGATAGATAGATTGATAGAATAATTCCATGGTCCGGCTGTCGGCTCGGCACGGAGATAATTTGAGGATAAATACCGTTTGAGTAAGCTGACATCGAACTTCAATTTGCAAATATGCGTTTACTTGCAACCTACCACATTCCTCTTCACGGCCACCCTGGCCCCGAGTCTCAAAGTCTCTAAAGGGTGACGAGGATAATAACTTGAATTGTGCAGAATGTCAAACCATTAATGTTACTATAGATCCAAGCAAGATAAGTTGTTCGTAACCATATACAGTAGCACACATGTCTCGAAATGTCAAGAATGTGCGGAGGTTGCAGAAACCATCATCATAATCATGCCAAGGGTGGAAGACCTCAAGCACGCGGTTCGGTGAGACAGACGGGGTTCACGCACAGTCAGCTGGGATCAGAAGGCCATGGATGGAAGCAGCCAGTTGAAGTAAAACAGGAGTCGGTAAAATTTTATTGAAATCTTAAGCCACTCAGAAATCGTCGGCGCGGGAATCAAAGACGCCCGATTAAGGAGGTAGAAGGGGAGGATTGGAGGACAGGGGAAGCGGGACGAGCCTTGAGGCGGACTGGTGGAGTGGAGCTGGACAGGCTAAAAAAACTGGACGAAGATACGAACCATGGAGGAGTCGGGAACGTCCGACTGCGAGATCAGACTCGACGGACGCGCTGCAGAGGAGGAGGAGGAGGAGGAGTTTGTGGCCGTGCGGTGGTGAGGGTGGTGGAGCTTATCGGCAAGTCAAAAAAAGAGTGCGAGGAAACAGTAGACGATGATCGGCATCGACATAGGCATAACGGAACCTGGAAGGACGAAGGCTGGCGAGGCGAGTCGAAACGATCCTGCGAACCGACCTCGGCTCTCCCCGATCCGACTCTGAGTCCACGCTCGCTGTACCCGCATGCACACGCGGTCTCGATGCATAAACAACACGTGGCCCGAGGATTCTCTTCTTCCCCTTTCACTTTTTGGGTGCCAAGCCCAGCCAGTCCCAGCCCACTGTAATTCAAGCAGGGCTCTACAATTCGCCTCCACCTTGGCCTTGGCCTGGTTGATTAGAGCACAAGGCATGCTTGCCTGCGACTCGGGTGCTAGCGTAATCTTCCTCATGGGCTCCGATTAGCCAGATGAGCGGCTCAGCTCAGCTCTCGTCTCGGCAGCTTAGGATGAGCGTGCCATCAGCTGGAGTGGAGTGGATTGAGATACAGCGAGGGAGTGAGGGGTGGCGAGCGCTAGAGATCGGTCATGTGCGTTTTGGCTGTTTTTGTATATTTTATCGACAGAATATCTCCCGCAACAGGGGCCACCTCTTACTCAAGCGTTGATGTAGAATCCGGACCTGTCATGAGGAATTGATGATGGATTTCGAGGTCTGGGTGTTTCCCACAGTGGAGGAGGAGCAGCAGCCGCTTCCGCTTGCACAGATTTTCAGGCGGAGTAGGGCGAATTGCCGGGGAGTTTGGGGCATAGGCTCGAAGAGAGTGAAGAGCACACCAGAAGCTGGTAAATGTTCGTTCTAGAAAAATTACCGACCTCGATCTCTGGCTAACTTACATTGCACACTCTTTTTGAGAAGAAGACTGTTTCTTTCTTCCATTGCCATTGTAGACGAAATCCATGGCAAGACCCTCGAGGACGCCTCCTTCCGGTGGAGGGTAAAATGCATTTCTTCTGTACTGCTACACGTCGTCTTAAACTCACCGGGACTCACGCCCACATATTCAGAAAAGCTGTCATTTGTCACTCGTGGGCACATGGATCGAAGTTGAAGCGAAGTGACTGAGTGCTGGACTGTACAAAATTGTTTCAATCAAGCAAATGGAACGGGAGGGACGCTGGGTATTGCATAAGCTGTCGTGGATCGGGAGGAAACAGCGGGGGCAAGGGCAGAGGAATTATCCAGCGATACAGGACCTAGGCGCTCAATTGGAAGGAGGACGATCCTCGGGACACAGGAATTAGACGGAGGTCGATCAGATTTACGAAATTGTCTTCGGGGGAGGAAATTGGAAGTGATTAGGAGGGACTGAGCAGTCTACTAGAGATACAGATTGAAGCAGGTGAAGGCTTTGCATGGGATTGCAACGAGACAGCTGCTGGATGTTTGCGTGGACTTGGTATGGACTGTAGTCGTTAATTGCTAGGAGTAATCTTCCGCTGAGGCTGCGTGGGACGTGGAGGATCATTTCTCGGAAGAGTTCATGTCAATTGCCCGTCGAGCTTTAAAGGATGATGATTGCCAGAACTTTTGCTGTCAGGGAGACTGTCCAGAGTTGAGAGCGCTCTTCGATCAGACCGAATCCGATGTGGAATTGGGGCCGGAGGAGGAGGTCGATGATCCTAGAGAAGAGGAAGTCGAGATGATACAGGGAGCCAGAGGGAATCAGGTAGGGACCTGCATGGAGATCGATATCGATGGTCTGTTCCCGACCGAACGGAGGCGAAGCCGCTCGGGGCTGCTGAAGCATTACAGTCGGAATGTGGAGCTGGAATTGCGGAACAGAGCAGCGACTCTCTGGCAGAAGATCAAGAGGACGAGGCACTTGCGCTTCAAGGACTGTTGCTGGTTCGTGATGCTCAATGTGGCAGTGGCAAGCCTGTTGTTCATAACAGGAATCATCACGTATGAAAGCTCTGTCAATGTCCTCCGGCACTCGTTAGAGACCACGGTGCTCTTCCCGATATACTTGCCTCACGCGGTCGCACTGTCCGTGGCGTGCATGCTGAAATGGCAGGCATTCTTGGGTATATTCATGGGGCTCTACTGCTCCCGGATTTATGCAGCTGCACGCGGCACGTACCTCATCTCGTTCACGCGTGGTGGTGTGCTTCTTACGGCCGCCGTGCTCGGCACCGCGGAGGTGTATTGCGCGAACTACTTGCTGTACTGTCAGCTGGTGAAGGAAGGGAGCGCGAAGAAAATGCCCACCATCGAATCCATCACGGAAGCGCTCAAGTATCTGGGAATTGTGGTGGTGTGCACCTTTTTCTTCGACACGGTGATTGCTCTGCTGATTTGCTCGACCCCGTTGGTGATGTGGTCGGATTTTACCCAGCTATGGGGCACGAATTGGCTAGGGGTGCTGGCTGGGATGCTCACCATCTCGCCCACCACCACGCACCTTTTTGCATGGCAGCGCAAGCCTTCTTTGCTCCAACCCAAGAAGCTCCTCGAAGCTCTCTCCCTCACCGCCCTCACAGCGGCGCTGGTGATCCTGTTGTTCGTGACGAGCTGGCAAACTGTGATCTACCCGCTTCCTTACCTTCTGTTCCCGATGATCATTCTGACTGCCTTCAGATTCAATCGGCTCGGGTGCTCTCTGGTGGTTTTGCTCGTCTCGTATGTCTGCGCCTGGGCCAGCGTTCGGGGCAAAGGGGCTCTCTACAGGATGGCCGGGAGTCCGACGCCCGTGTCCTCGCCCAAGCTCATTCTCCAGGTGGAGCTTTTCGTCTCGGTTTTGGGAGTGGTTGGAATCCTCCTCGCGGCTGCAGTCCGGGAGAAGAAGCAACTGGCCCGAGATCTGCACAAGATGAATGAAGAACTGGAGTCCACGGTCCACGAGAGAACCATCGAGCTCGTCAAGGCAAATGACGCTCTCAAAGAGTCTCAGAGGAAGGCCGAGCTGGCGAACCAGGCAAAATCCGAGTTTCTGGCCAATATGAGTCACGAGATCCGGTGAGTCATCTTCCCCGGAATTGACTTGCTTTGCCCATCGCATCCACAGATTGGCTATTCTGATCTCGCTCATTCTTTTGCTCACACTCCTCGGGACTTGGTACTTTTGCCAAAATTCGGAGTTTCGCTAAGAGCTGCTGGCAAGAAGAGAATTGAAGAGAATCCTTTTCTTGGCTCTTGAGACGCTGCATAAGATTTTCGCTGAATAATTTTGTCGTGATGATGCCAGGACACCGATTCATGGGATCATGGGATTGACTTCGCTCGTGTTGGACTCGGAGCTTTCGCTCGATCAACGAGATAGCCTGGTCTCTGTGCAAGATTGTGCGAATGTGCTGCTCCACATCATCAACAGTATTTTGGATCTTGCAAAGATCGAAGCCGGGAGGATAGAAGTTGAGTTTGTGACATTCAGGATGTCGCAACTGGTCAGCAGCACGGTGCGCATGCTGCACACCCGGGCCAGCGATAAGAATTTGGAGCTGGTATGGGACCTCGATCCGGATTTGCCACAATGGTTAATCGGTGATTATGGAAAGCTACAGCAGTGTCTCTTAAACCTCAGTAAGAGTGCATTCAACCTTCTGCTCGTCTTTCTCAAGTCATGTCATGTCATGATGACGTTCCGGCTATCAAATTTCTCCTTGGCTGGGAATTCTACTATTCTGGTTCTATAGGTATGTCAGTGGGCGTTTCTCTGAATTTCCTGCATTGCATCTAGCAAGTAACTCTGCTTCATCTTTGCAGGTCTGCTCATTGTCAGCCCCATGTTCTAGTTTGACCAAATTGCCGATGTAGTTTTGATTCGGAACTCCGCCGTCGGTAATCTCATACTGACTTGGGATCCAATACGATATCTGCACTCTGCAGTTGGCAATGCCGTGAAGTTCACACATGAAGGCACTGTAAGAGTGCACGTCAGAGTCGACAAGAGCGGTGGAAGTGGAAAGCGGCTGCCCGGCAATCGCACTTCCGAGGAGCCGGGACGAACTGCGAGCTGTTCTCCTCGTGGGGCAAGTCCCACACCAGATCCGGACTTCTCTTCGACCTCGTTCTTCGAAAGTCCTGCGCAGTGGCAGTGCTGTAATCCTGGCAGTTCCCGCAAGTCTCCGACTGTGGGTGTACAAAATGAGGAGTCTGTATTTTGTGTTCCTGTCGTGGTCGAGGTTCATGACACGGGAATCGGTGTCTCGGCTGAGAAGCTGCAAGATATCTTCACCCCCTTCACACAGGCTGATGCTTCTACATCACGCGTTTATGGAGGCACGGGGCTCGGACTTTGTATCGTGCAGAGGTGAGTCCTTCTGAGCTCGTGAATTGTTACTTGTCGTGTGTGGGAGAGTGTTGTTGTATAGAGAGGTCGGATGGATAAATCGGGTTGCACATTGTTCTCATTGACGCTTGGAGGTTCCTCCAGGCCCTTCCTTCCTTTTGTAGATACGTGGAAGTGCTCGATTGCTGATTCTGCTCGTGTGCAGATTTGTGGAGCTCTTGGGAGGCAAATTGCAGGCGGAGAGTGAGCTAGGCAAGGGAAGTTGTTTCTCGTTCTGCGTTCCCTTGGGCTACTCGCCGAAGAATCACGAAGAAAAGGGCTGCGACATTAGGGGTCTGATAAATTTACTGTCTACGCCTCTACCTCACGAGGCAGAATCATCAGTTCAGGCGAGATGCTGTGGAGCTGCTCCGCCTCCACAGTGTCCTTCTCCTCCACCCGATGCCGCTACCCTTGCCCCCAGAGTCTGCTCGGACAGTGGTGACTGTTGTTACCTGCCTCCTTCCGACGGAGCAGAGCATTTACGCAGTCATAGCGACACTAGGGTTTCATATAGTCAATGCAGTCTAGACTCCGTCGGAAAAAGGAACTCTCCAGGAGGTTCCAATAGTCCAGCACGGGCGGATTTGTCGGTCTGGAGGCCCAGGAGATCTATCGAGAATTTAGACGTTCTGCTGGCAAATTGGAACCTGAACGAGTCTCGGATGAAAGCCAGTGAGTGCGAATGTTGTTCGACTTCAGATAAATCACATAAGTGTTGTAATCCCCTCTGCAACTCGACAACTACAGGAGTGGGTCAGCAGCTACTTAGATGGCCGAGCAATCCTTTGGACTACCGACGGAATCGGAATTCACCTCTGGAGCATATCAGCTTTGATGAACCCGAAGAGCAATCGCTGGCACCTTCGGCAATGCTAGAGTGTAGGGCAGCATGTCCTCCCCCTGGAGCTGCCATAATCGACATAGACATCCCTTGCAACCCGAGGCAAGATGCATCTTGTAACCAGGTAGAAACAAGGGAGGCTCCGTGTAAGCCGTCCGGAGGTCGAAGACAATCGTCTGAGCCGAGTGCAGCATCAGCAAGATCAGCGAGGGAGGATCTTCAACCGAAAGAGGACTACCTCAATCTGCATGTTCTACTCGCGGAAGATAATCTCGTCAACCAGAAAGTCGCAACTCGCCAACTGCAGAAGCACAAACACGTGGTTACCGCTGTAGGAGATGGACTTCAGGCTCTAGAAACTGTCAAAGCAGATCATGACAAATTCGATCTTGTTCTCATGGATGTACAGGTAGGATCTGTTCAAATTTCGAACTTACAATCAGACTCTGAATTAATTTCGAATTGCATAATATCAGTCTGCTATCATAACCTTTCGACCTTTTTCTGGTTCTCTTGGCATATTCTCGTTGCTTGAGATTGTTAAAATTGATATAATCATGATGTTTTCGTGTTTTTATTTTCCAGATGCCAAATATGGATGGGTTGGAGGCAACCCAGAGGATACGTGAATACGAGTGTCAACAGGGAATTAAGAGATTACCCATACTAGGTCTAACAGCTCATGCAATCCAAGGTTATGAGGAGACGTGCCTAAAGAGTGGCATGGATGGCTACCTGGGAAAACCATTTGATATCGACCAATTGTTGCGGGTTATACACAAATACGTTCCTCCAAAAGATGCCATCATCCTTAGAAGGTTAGTATTTCGCCTTATGAAATTTCGCAGTGAATTACTGACAATCATGTCGGAGTGGATGAATTATCTATTCCTGCATTGCAAATGGTATCTGAGTGTGAATAGTCTTATTCTCTTCGCACATATACTGACGGATATCAATCTATGCAGATGAGGTGACAGAGTCTCCGCAGTGGTCGATAGGGAATTTGCCAAGAAATGGGTACTGAAGGTATATATCAGATTGATGTTAGTTACAAAAATCAGTTCGGTTCTTCTGCATGAGCTTGTTTTGTGCTACTGGACCATCATGGAGGATTGAAAGGGCTGTTTAATCGTCACAAGAATAGAGATTGATGTGTAATCTATTGTGCGTATCCAAGCTTTGATCAGTTCATGTACTCAAATGTAGATGTAATGGTGCAGAGGAATGGGTCTCCTTCGAATGGGAAAAGAGTGCAGGGTTCAGAAGAGTGATTCCTGCTCAACGGGAACCTTCTGTCGAAAGGTTGGATTTTTCAAGCTGAAAGTGACACTGTACAAAGGATGGGTACTTTTACCCTTAGACCGTCAGGTTCCATGAACCCCTGTGCAGTTTACTATGAATTTTGTATCAGTGTTTATAGTTAACAGTTTTGTTAGAGCATGCGGTTGTTCATCACCACGACTGCTGGTGAAGGAGTATGGTTTTAGGAAGTAGAGTTCACACTTGACTTTCAGCATTGGTCAGTGCGAGAACCTGCATGTGGATTAGAAAGCCCATGCAGCTGGCCAACCTGAAGTCGACCTCGGGAAGATAATCCGCTTGCTAGCTGTGGCGGCCACTGGTGATGATTCTTGACAGGACCAGAGTAGTTTAAATCTATCCAAAATCTCCACCCTCAAATTATGGATGTATAGGAATGTTCCGAAGATTGTCCTCTCAAGATCTGATAGCAAAAGTGGGTGCCTTTGTGATTCGACCTTCTTGTGTGTCTAAACCAGCATTTCTTGTGTGATGCCTTGTCTGTAATTTTACATGTAACAGGGGAATTCTGGAGATCAGAGTGTTTATGTCAGATTAGGAATAAGGCGAGGACATAAGTCATGAGCATCTGACCTTCAAATGAGCCTAAAATTGGGTTGGGTTTTTAGTCAGGCTTTTTTACCCATTGTAACCAGCTGCACGGGATCTATAGTCACTGGTGATAGTGGAGGAAGGTTAGTAATCATTTACCGTGATATTCACTGACAATCTCAAGTGATTAAAACATATTTCCTATAATGGGGCCTCATGGGAGCTGAGCTTAAGTGCAAAAAAGGGTTGGAGTAGTGTAACAAACTTTGTTCCCCAAGGACTTGTTATTACACAGATAAACAATCAGAAACTTGTGCGAGAAACGAACTCGGAACGGAGGGGGAACTATCTGTAGATCATAAATGGCCTTGCATGATACTGGATTGGTACACATACAGTGAACGGATGATATGTTACTTTTTCCTTTCATTTCAATGATGAACAGTCTTTATCCAAGGTTCGCAGCTTGCCACAGCAGTTTTGCCAAGTGATTGAGCTGATGTTCTGCTAGTCAACAACCACGTGTGAAAAGGAGTCACGTTCAGCTGAACGTGTAATTTCCACGGGAACATCACACGAACATAGACAACAGCCAAATGGCATCCTTGCCCGATCATGCTATAGGAGCGTCGCTGAAAGGAGAAAGACATTTGACGGGGAAAAAATGGACATGATAGGTAATGAATCAGTTCGTAGTATCAGGCTGGCACTTTGTGTTTTTTAGATGAAATATATGAGGATGAAGGTGAAGAAGTTGGTCGGATCTGAGATCACAAACTCCATAACCACCCTCTTGGAATGGTCAATCATCCGCTCTAGGCTGAGAGCTGGGGCCCTATTCTATTACGTACAAAGAGAGACTGAAATGCAGCCTGGTACCAAACAATGACTGAAAGATCAAGTTAAGAGTTGCACATTAGTCTCATACAAGGTCAGTGAAGGAATACTCTACCAACGTTTGGCTTCTCTTTATGGAAGCGGAGGACTTGACCTTGGAGAACATTGGTTTTACTTCAGGGAATCCGCGATGAAATTAGAATATATGCTCTATGCATGAGGGGGTTAAGAGTCTTGAGGCTGCATGGAATACTTTGTAGTGAACAGAGAGGTGAGAGAAGATTTTGAGATATCATGTATCAATTATTTGGCGATACTAGAAATCACTGGATAGAAGGTTAGAATAGCAATCAACATGGAGGTTCTACATCAGAGTCCTACAATGAATACCTATATACATGAATATCCAATATCCACCCATACCCATGGCACAATGGGTAGGTAATGGGTATTGTCTTGGAAGCATGGGTGGATATAAGTGACCCGGACTTTAAAACTACTGAGTTAGCATATTATAGGTCCGCTCGTCAGTGGTCCTATCTACATCAAACTATTTACAAAAAATAGTTGCATATGATGTTGCATCACCAAAACTGGTTATGGTCCTATATATAGCTCGCCTATCTAGATAACATTTGCTAGTGAGTTTTGTAGAGCATTGAAAACACCTCCCTCAAATGAGCTACGCAGTATGCTAGAGAATAAAACATGCCTATCATATGATATGATGCAAGTAGATTGGAATAGTTCATCTCAAACTGGCGCAAGTAAGGCTTAAGTCCTTGTCTTGAACTGGCTGTGTTACTGGATGTTGATGAATATCAAAGTATGAAATCATTTTATAAAGAGAAAAGAAAATTTGATTCGAGGAAAGGTCTTCTTTGACATATTTACAGTAGAAGTCGTAGCTCGAGGTATTCATCACCGTATTCATCAAGGTTAACGTTTTGACAAAGCCTTAAATGTGAACAACCAAGACTTGTTGAGTGAACATGATCAATCCTACGAGCCAAAAGCCATAAGTGGAAACCAAGAAATGAATCTGAGGGATGGACATGATGTACATTGTGAAGAAAACAAAGTAACAAATATCTTTTCAAAAGCTTGTGAGAATTATGCTGTAATGATAATTTAATTGATGATTATAATCTAGTTTTAATCCTAGTCATGACACCAACAACCGGAACATGAAGAGGGAAACTTTTAAAAAGGATCAAGAAGATTAAATACATTCACAAAAAATATAGAGGATTGGAGTTGTTTTGCAACTATCATGAACTTATATTTCTCTGAAGTTGATGGTGAATGGTGATATCAAAGTTGATTCTTTTGATGCAAAACTTGTAAAATTGTGAAGAAATCTGTGTAAAGTATTTATTACCAAACCTCTATATTATAAATTGATGATTTGTTAATAAGAAAATTTAATGAGATTTAATCAATTTTCAAAATAACACGAGATAGATAATCAAGTAATTTGTGTCATTATTATTTTCATTCTGATAGCTATATGTTTTTTTTTCTGTAATATATAGTGTGTTATTAAAATTTTATCTTGAAAATAGTTGAAGTTTGTTTCCAAATTTTCAAAGAATTGAAGTCAATATGGAGCAGATCAAATGATATATCATTCTAGAATAAGCTCAAATCAGCTCGTTTTTAACTCATTAAAATTTATTCTTTTGACTCATTAGAAATTTCTAAACTTATGATGAGTCATCCTTCTTCTATTCAGAATATTCATGCGGAGCACTAGAAAAATTACTCTAGCAATTATATATTTCGTTTAGATTATCTTCTTTTCTCAGTTAGTTTCCAGCTGGATTCCAAATAAATTTGTTTTACAAGAATATCTATGCTTTAAAAATTATCTTAAACTTTGTGTAATTTAAAATATGCGAATAAAAAATATTTAAGAACCCAATTCACAATTGAAGTGAGAGATTGTTTGGTTCATTATAGAGATGAGTAAATTAGTTATTTTTACCAATAAATTAGACTAGGGTGCAAGACAATTTAAGTAGGCCGTGAGAATACCAAAGCAAAGCCTCATGCTCAATTGTTAGAGCGAGATCTGGGGAATAAAAGAAAATCTTGCTATGAAAACTCATTATGGTTGTCGAGCTAGTGTTCCGGCAAAGTGCTCTTGTTTTTTTGTGGCCGTAGCATCGCAAAGATTCACATAATCCTTGTATCGACTCGCATGTCATATTCTTTACTCAATATTTGCGGTCAATGACCATCAAGATGAAGGAGTAAGAAAATAATGTGACATAAATCTACTTCTTCTTTGCGAATTTGTATGCCAAGCTTAAAAAATTGGCCCGAAAGAGAAATAATCGATACCGATTCAAGATCATATGGACATTGATGATACAAACAGCAAATAATTAAGGAGTATAGATACTAATGGTTCACTAGTGCATGAAGTACAAAAGGAAACAGAGGCAGAGTAACTGGATTGGAAAAAATGATAGTAAAACTTTGCGTTGAATGAAGAGATCAGCGTCGGTAGAAATTCTCAAAAACATCGCCTAAAGAAGAAATAAAACCTGCACAAGGATGAAAGAGGTGGTGTTTCCAAAGTATTTTTAACCAAAGACGAAGCCAATTGTGGAAACCACTAGATTTGGTGTTACAACTGTTGCGTAAGTTAGAGAACTATGTGATTTTGGTGCTCATGGACTTGAAAGAGTGTAGGCCAATGTAAATGCTTAAGTGAGATCCGTAGGCCGACAGTCATATGGACTTGGTCTGAATGTTAAATTGACTAACTATTGGCAAGCATCAGACCGACAAAATTCCAAAGTTGATTGAGAACTAAGAATAAGTTACCCAAGCAGAAGATTGAGATGAAAAAGTGAATACAGTCTTCAAAAGCCTTCCGTAGGGACTTGCAGGATTTGATGATCTGAAGTCAAATTTGTGAAGCAATTCGGACTCATTCTGGATGAATATCGTGTATATCATATACACGATATCCATAACAACCCATATACAGTATATGGGTTGTTCTAGCAATCGATCTCTTTCTCCGTAACCTTGAGTGTTTGGTCAACATTGGCGATATACATGTTAGATTCCGTCAGCCCAATAGCCCACAACGCTAGCCAATTATGGCTTCTCCACCCTTTCGTTCACCGGACACTTGGTTGTTCGGGAGTTCTGCCATCAGAAACAAGCTCACGGAATTGCCATTTCTGAACTTTATGTATCAGCATGCACGACAAATAATACTCTGAACGCACAAAGTATGGATGCTGGATGAAGAAGTTTTGGAGCAGCAGTCATGACTCATTTCTCTTGGCGACGCAAACAAACATACCGGTTTCATGCAGAGAGATTTTTCGGACAAGGTCCGCCATCATGGGCAACCGCCAGCCCCGTGCTTGTTGCGTTGAGCGGGGCAGATGAGCCAAGAGGAGATTCTATGCCACGCTAAATGGGCTGGGATTTGGAAATCGAGACGTCGTCCCTACATGAACTTTACCTACAGTTACAAATCATTTCTAGAAACTGAGAGCCCACATCAAGACCAAGGTAATACCAAAGCCGAGGGTTTGACGCGGCCCAAGAAACCCAAAAGGTATTGCGCAAAGGGTTGTTGCCAAACTTGTCATCACCAATGCATGATGCACACCAGAGCAAAACTCTCTCCGTCTACATCATCGCGTGCCCAAATATCTTGAGATGCTGAGACTGGGACGTGTATATTTCCATGCTGGCTTGATGACTAGGAATCAGATTGCTCCTGAACTATCTGACTTCGAACAGAAAGAAACTGGGCTAAGGGAAGAAGGTTCACCATAAGCGCAAACCCAATATGATATACGACATGAAACCGTATGTATTACAAGAATCGTTTATAAAACAGTAATAGATATGTACATGTCGAGATTTTTGAGCGAAGTATTAGTTACAGAAACAAAGGGTACTAATAAAATTCTACCGTAAGCTGAATCAGGCCAACCTGTACAGTATGAAATACTCAGTTACAGCAAGCCTACAAGAACCAGGAAAGCAGAAATCATCAACGAGGAAACTGTGAGTTTCTTCACAATGATTAGTTCATCACAGGGTTGATTCGATCTAAAGTCTAGCAAGTGGTAGTCGGAACATTGGCAAGCGTGAGCGTTTCCAATCAGACTTCTCGTTCACAATCTGTCAACAATGGACTTTTTACTTTGGTTCGTCCTCAATGAGCAACAACAAATCTTTCTTTCTGTTTTTCAGGTTCATAAGTAGCTCCCTGCGCTTTCATCCAGGGTATCTTGTCCGCATCAGACATACTTTCGAGCTGCTTCAAGATATCTACTGCTTCTGCTGTCCTAATGACCCAAGTACCCTCACGAGGATCCTCGCTATACAGGACGGCGTTTGGGGTCACAAAATTCGTGCATTCGCCTTCCTTCCCACCTGCAGCCCTGAGCCGGCGACGTTGACTGGGACAATTATCAAACCACCTTCCGCCAGTGAAGTTACCACCGTTGACACAGACATTGCCATTGAAAGAACCGACATGGCTGGCACACATCCCATTTCTGTAAACGGCCCCTTCATCGCAGCTAGCCGAGTTTCTAAACCGCATCGACGCACGTGGCGAGTAATTGCAACAGATGCCTACGGCAATGTTGATACATGAGACCCCAGCCCCAGTGCACGAGCTCATTGGATAGAAAATGATGTCCACGGCACCGGTGAGGTGAAATCTTGTGAGCACATATGACATCACCAACAGCGCGGGTCGTACATACCTTATTAGTCCCTCGCCCATATCTTTTGAGCCGTACTTACCTGATTTGAACGAGTGTCACGACTTAGTACTGTAATGGAGCACGTGTGGTCAGAAGTGCTGAAGATGCATTGACCACAACCCACAAGGCACATGAAGGAGCACAAATTTTTTCATGCCCGTGCAGAAACTTTCTGGAAACTCATCCACTGAAATCAATGCATCGGGATATCAGAGCAACCGGAAAGGTGTTCTTCTACCACAGCCTTAGAAAAGCGAAAGTGCTATCGGAGAAACGTACCGAACAATCACTCTGAGAGTGCGATTCAGCGGCAGAGGTTGGAGACTCGTACGCACCACATGTAGTCTTCACTCCACATTGAGATATCTCACCACAACAAAACTCAAAATTATATTATCTGACATATAGAGAATGCGGAAGAGAAACAGAGAATGCAAAGTCACGGTGTTTGCTCTGCTAATACTTGATTCAAAGAACTCAGGGCACCTTTTCTATCATTTCGGTATGTCTATCATGAAAATTTTGTACTGAGTGTCCACAATTCGCCTCTTGGGCATAAACTCTGAGGCTCAAAGCTCGTCGGTGTTGTACAACTCGTCGAGCTTATTCGTTGAGTACAACGAGGATTTGCCTCCAAGTGCGCTTAGTCCTTCTGTCACGCCAACTTTTTCTCGAGATTTGCTGCAAATCAGAGGCTCGACCTCTCTCTAGTGGACTCTCATGCCTTGCATGTGGTCGGCTCATGACTCGGTTAGCACAGTACAGTACACAGATCTCCGAGGGCTTCAACCAGCACTCCATGGGGGCGTTGACAAATCTCGCCCCGAAACTCGTGTTGAAGCGCGCATCAATGTCCTAGCGTAACAGAACGGCTGCTTTTTCTATGGATGGATATCTAAAAATCGTCACAGGTTGACGCGTTAAACAACATTGGGCCGGTGGCCGACTTTAACTGTAAGTGAATGGAGTGACATTCTTCCTGATTTCTGTAGCTAACTTCGTTCAATCGGCGATGGGAATGAGCAGCACAGTGTAAGCAAGTGTTCCTTACAGTAGCTACAAAGGTAGAAACTTTGCAAGGTCCAGTTTGCCAGATAATGCATATTTCTTCATATTTCTGCAGTGCTGAAAATTGAAAGGTAGACCTCTTTTCCTGTAGAAGTCTCAAAAGCCAGAGAGTTGGCACATACGAGACGAGAATCCAACTCAGTCCCAATTTAGATGATTTGGCTGTGATGGACGGACAGCAGATTTGAGAGGACAACACGCTGACGAGGCTGCAATCCTCTGAGCATGGACCATTTACAGCATCACGGTCCATGATGATTACGCAAAGGACCAATGTTTTCCGTGTCCATGAGCCCCACTAGAAATGGATCGGATCTTCTGTACATGCAACCGTTTGTTCATTAGTCGAGAAACACTCCTGCTCCTCGATTTCCTCTACAGGTGAAAAAGAATATTATAGACTATGCCTAGCTTTGTTCACGACTAGAGTTAAGATAAAACTTACTTCCTTCCGGATTCTCATGCTTGGCCGCCAAGGCTTACATAGGGAATCCAGAAAATGTAACGAATGAATGGGAAATCGCATGGGCGGGATCCAATGGGAGCTGTTCCGTCTTCTCTTTGGAGATTTGAACGGAATGTTCTGTCCGGATGCGAAGAACTAATGTAGAGCTCTGGATTACGTGCACACTCGTGACTTTGCACTTGAAAATGGAGTTCCAATTAGGAAGTAGGAGTGAAAGCTTGTCATCTATCACCCATTTTGCATTTTTTATTGAGTGGACTCAGTATATTCGATACTCTCCTTATGTTTCATGTCAGTCAAGTCGTCGAGACTTTCGAACATTGACATAGGACACGGGTACTCGGAACAGGAGACGTCAAGTCGTCGTCGTCGTCATCACAGGCCAGTGGAGTGCTATAAAGAGGTTGAAAGAACAAGAAGATAATCAGGCCAGCTGAAGATGCTGAAGCTGAATCGTTGTTCACTCGACACTATTTACGAAGCTAAGGTCGTTGCCCCGAGGAAAGAGCCAGATCGATGTGACCTCGTCCGTTATTTTGTACCGGTGCAGGTCCCTCCCTGCTATGGCCGCCACCCTCTCCATCGTTCGCTGCAACCGAGCGATTCCAAGTAACTCGGCACCGAAGTATGTCGAAACCGTTCACATTGGGTCGTGTGTGGGAGTACACGAATGCTGAGCTTGCAACTGTGATACCAAAGTGTGGGTCGAGGAGTTCGATGATCTTCATATGGGCAATCTCCACAATTCATGGTAAATGGTAAATTCATGCACGACCTGTATATCTCAATGAGTTGGAAGTGCCACGCTGTAAGAAAATAGAGTGTTGCGCGAAGATAGAATGTTCCTAGTGTCATCAATTCAAGTAAAGAGTAAATTATCTAATATTTGCATATTTGTATAACACAGCTTTGAGATTTTAGAATTCCAATTTTACTTCGAGAAAAAGCAATGATTTAGTTTTTTGTTTGAGTTTTGTTTAAAATCATTGCGTTTGTTCGCAGTTTTTTTGTCCTTCATAATTTTGTTTGATACTAAAACTTCGTAGGTATTACTTCATATGTTTCAAAAAATGTTAGATAGTGTCAGTTTTTTATGTAAAAATGTCAGATTTTTTTTTTTTATGAAATAAATAATAATTTGATTTTAAAAATATTGAATTATTATTTCGAATGATTTAATTTTTGAATCAATTATAGTTTTTTCATAAAAAATCAAATACTTGGTTTACTATCTAACATTTTTTGCAACATATGAAGTGATACTTAGGAAGAACTTTTAGTATAAACACAATCTTACAACATTTAGTTGAAAATACCATATCAAATAAATTATTTTTAGCTATTTTATCAGATTTGGATGATAGATTATTCAGATCTGAAATAAAATTTTAAACAAGAAACTAAAAAGATGATTTGTCTGATTGGACCTCACGGTTCAATGAGACGAAGGTTTTGTTAATCCACGCTAGCATGCCTTCATGTGCTTAAATGATGGCTTCCACTGGGTCTGTAGGCTATCAAAATTCTCCACGAATACTTATAGATAGGAACTAGATTTCACTAATAAGGCATATGCGTGGCTTATGTGGTTTCCAAAAAATCTACAGCCTGAAAAATTCATTGGACTACGATTGCCTATATTCTGGACGGATAAGTCTACTTCAGAGAACTGGCAGAGAACTTCATGAGAACGGAGAGCGTAGTTCAGAGAACTGGCAGAGAACCGTCTCCGTCTGACAGAGAACTTCATGGTAAAAATCACAGGCCGAAAAATCATTAGGCTTCTCAGAGATATTTTTTTCTCTCGGTACAGTTATGGCGACAGGGTGCAACAACATAGGCTCCACCCAGCAAGGATATATACACATGTGCGATGTTAGTGAAGCTGCAGCAGCATTTGCTGTAGAGAATTGCTATTGAAAGGCCTTTTATTCAACCTCATCGATCGAAGACCACAGTGTTCGCTCCTGCCGACAGTTAACTCGTGCATCCTTGAGAACAATCGGACCACAGTATGCTTCCTGTTTTCTTTACAGTAGCAATGAGCACGAGGCCTTAAGGACATCTCTATTCTTGCGTTCCACAATCTCATTTAATTAAATCTAGTCAAACGACTTAGAGGCCTACAGGTTCACACATGGTCTAGATGTAAATTTGCAACCGGAGAAGTCCGGGGCAGACTGACAGGACATGCATGCGGTTGTTGCTGTAGAAATTTGCACGATCAGAGGAGGTGATTTGTTGTCATTTGCAACCTTGATGTGCATCCTGCCACTTCTAGACGCCATCAGTACCCTCCACTCAGACGAAGAGAAGGTACATACAGTAGTAACAAAATCGACTGTCCAGACGAGAACTTTCGACAAGCCTGTTGTATTTCCGTCTACAGTTTAAAGCTTCCGGGAAAATTATTCAGTATCGCAGTTTACATTCCTAAAATTAATCGGACATATTGTCTTCAACAAGTTTGGTAATCGTCAGGAACTGATGAAAATCAGCCAAAACTTGCCGGATCCTGTCGTAGAGTGCAACAGTTGCCAGTCACGTGCAGTAAGGTGTGAAAATTTCTACGTTGGATATACGTGGAGATGCCCGTAATATAATTTTTACATCACCCTTCAATCGAGTTCCGTCAACTGTAGTGGCATTTCCTTTGTGCAGTGCGCATTCCCTGAATATGAACAATCGACCGAGGTAAACCTTGTCCCAGCAAATACTACATTCAAGGAAGAAGGAAGGTTAAGATTGTGAAATTTTGTACAGCTGGTTCACAGGGCTGACTTCTTGGTCGGGGTGACATTCATGTACATATGGATGTCAGCACGCGGTCGAGCGGCCGGCCATCCGAACGAACGATCTCTCCGTGCGGCATTTATTTGAATTCAGCCAGCAGCCGACTGACTCCAAGCAATAAAACCCGGCTCATTATCGAGCTCGCCAAATCAGGAGTCCAGGTAAAGTAGACTCTGAACAGATCAAGTCTGATGAGCCGGCACAGCAAGTGTTTGTCGGCTGCTGTTGATTCGAACTCCGTGTTTATCCTCGGAAGTTCAGTACGTGGACATAATGAGTGCTCGATGTTTTGTGGGCCTCATCGCGTCGACGAACAAGCGCTTCATCCTGACGTTGTATGAAGGTGACTCGTCCGTCTTCCTCAAGGGCCTGCTCCCTCTTCGATCAACTGGGACAAGAACCAAACTGTGAAAGCGGTGGCTGGTTTGAAGTTTGAAGTTCCTTCAAACTTTTCATGGCATACTATGCTGTAAAAGTAGCAAGTCTTCAACACGTGATCTGAGCTAAGCTTTCTGAATATGTGAATGGTAGGTGTTCATCATCGTCTGCAGATGTCGCGATATTAGGACGTAGACTCGATTGCTGCAAGACGAGATTCACTGGAAGGAATTATAAATTAAATCTGCACACTGCAGTCAGAATTCATATCCATTCAGGTTCGCCTTTGAATTAAGTACCGTGAGTTTTGCTTGATCATTCTGCTGTAATCTTTTCGGCATTAAATTCTATCCCCACGTCTTCAGTATTTCTCTTGGATCATACTTCTACATAACATACTCAACTATCTAGACAAAACTTTCAATGCGAAACCTCGGAACAAGCATCTGTTCTGTCACACTATTGGATTTATTATACATAATGAGAACAAAATGACAAGTGTTTGGAATCAATCTCAAGGATAATCTTGGATGCATGTGATTTTAAATTAGCTGAAGGTGACAAATCCGGGTCTTTTCTTGATTTAAGACAGAAGACATCATCATTTATTGCGCTTACTTCAGGTTTCAGATTATTTGAAGATTAAATTCTATACAATCTAAAACTTCCTGTGTCCGGCAAACCCGAAGCTATCCCCTTCTCCGCCCTTGGTTTGGGGTAAACAACTCCGTAACCTCTTTAACTACGTGCGGATATTCCACACGGATTCTGATCACTCGTTCCAGCGACGACGTTTTAACCTTATTAATATCGGTATATTCCATAGTTCGTCGGACTTTCTTTTGCTTTTCATGATAATTGATCACAGTTATGACGTTTACCGGACTTGAACCAATAATGTATAGTAGCGTATTTAAAATCCTTCGAATAACCTTTGACATCAAATGCACGAAAGAGCGGGAGACAAGAATAGATATATTGACTCTTTCCTTTCGGTGTTACGTCTCGCTATACGCTCGCCAACATCTATGTCCTAAAGCGTTGAGTTTGGATAACCGCTTACCTACTTGTGAGCTGCATGTGCAAAGTTCAGTCTATAGACATGCTTTGAGCTACTATCCTGAAGGATTTTCATCAAGTATAAATTGTCAATAAATCAATCAATTGTAAATGGTAATAGATCAAACCCGGGGATCCAAAGGGTCAAAAAGCTGAAAAACACAATACAAGCAACAACCAGAAACAAAATCTAATCACTAACTAGTGCCAAGAGTACTAGAACGATAATTAATAATGTCCCTAATGTAACAAACTAAATCAAAAGTAACTAACAGTAACAAAGAATAAAAATTCTCTAAATCAAAAATAACTAATTGAAACGAAGAATAAAAATTCTCTACATTTATATTATGAGC